TATCTCAAATTATCTTGGAACTAGTTATTTGGGTCAAACATTCTGAATGCAACATAGTGAGTCAGAACGGGTAGCTTTAAGCAGCACTCCCCACTGACGAAGAAGAAATCAAATAATAATAACTGGGGAAAAAGTCTGCAAAATGTCTACTTGCTGACTAAAACTAACGTTGGTCAACTGAGACAAGCTTATTATGTTAAATTGATTCTCCTGTGGTTCTGTAAAACAGTGTCTTAAGACAAGGCTAAGATGTCCAGGGACGAGGAGAACTGGAAGGAATTCTAAGCCTAGATGCAAGTAGAGAAAGCTCATGACAAAAACAAGCAAAGGTTATGTCTTTTTGAATATCTTACAACCATGTTGAGAAGAATCCTAAAAGCTTCCGGCCACTCATTAAAAAAATCAAAAAGGAAGAAGTGGCATTTCAGATTTGAAAACAGAATCACTTATAACTGCACCGCCTAAGGGTAAAGCAGAAGCACCGTGTGATCCATTTTCTCATGTTTCCACCAGAGAAGATTTAACATATATCCAGCTTAAACAGTGACCATTTACCGAGAATAATAAATCTAAAACAAAGAAAGAGAGTCTTTTGAAACTATTGCAAGAAATAAATTCAAATTAGCCTGGAATAAAATCTTATAAATTAGACATTCAAGAAGGGATTGGATGATTAGTCTAATGGAAACAACATGCAAGGATATGGGGAAAAAGACAGGAGAACAGCATTAAGTCATAATGCTCATTTACAGAGCTGATGCAGACACAACGGGCTGAATGTCTTCCTTCCGCATTGTAGTAATACTGTCATTCTATAAAATTCTACTCTGGTACTTGAAGTGAGCAGCTGATGAACTGGTTCTAACATTGACCAATCTCTTTCAAGAATCAATCAACATCAGCTACTTACCAGGCCATTGGGTACAAGCTAGTCTCTGAGGCATTTCAACAAAAGGGGATAAAAGTCAGGTTGGACGTTGAAATTGCTTGAGCATATGCTTCATTCTCACATCATGAGGCACCTTTAGGTACACAATATCCTGGCGGACGACATGCTTGAACAGTTAAGATGATTTTCCAAAAATCACAGTTCTTACAAACTGTCATTGACCGGGCTTCTGGTCTCAAAAGAAATTAAACTATTCACATGGCAATACTGGATTTCACAACAATCCTTTGTCAAAGTTTTTCAAGAAGAGGTGTTATCCAAACTTCACTACTATGGAATCGGAGGATATTAAAGTGGATCCATAACCCTTACCAACAGAAGAGAGTGGGGTGCAATGGGAATCAACCTCTCCTAGAGGCATCCTTTCTCGAGTGTCCCAGGAAACCATATTGGGACCTTTAATTCTTAATGCACATAAATGACCTTCAAATTTAAAAAGGGATGCAATCACTTGCAGATGGCCGCATGGGTTACATAGCAGGAAAATCTCATGGTATATATCAATTCACTACAGGATGATTTTCTGAAATTACAAAGGTGCGAGGACTAATGGGAGGTGCCAAAAATGCCATGTCGTTTGCATTAACAAAAAGGATCCACCAAGAAAGCTCTGTATGCCAATTCTCGAGAGTTCAACTTAAAAGCAATTAATGAGGATTTCACATTCAGCAGATAACATCCTGGTTCTTGGGTTTCTGAGCAAATATCAAAGATTGCTTTGTTGCAATATCCAAGTTACAGCCAATCAAACATTTGTTTGTCTGATCCAGAGACTATGCAAGTTGTCTATGGGATTATGTGATGAAAGATATAAAAATGATTGAAGCAATTCAAAGACATAGTCTCCCTGCTATAGGAAAGATGTTGTGAAACTTGAAAGAGTTCAGAAAAGATTTACAAGGATGTTGCCAGGGTTGGAGGGTTTGAGCAATAGGGAGAGGTTGAATAAGCTGGGGCTATTTTCCATGGAGCGTTGAACGCTGAGGGGTACCTTATAAAGGTGTATAAAATCATGAGGAGCATGAATAGGGTGAATAGTCAAGGTCTTTTCCCAGGGCATGGGAGTCCAAAACTAGAGGGCATAGGTTTAAGGTGGAAGGGGAAAGATTTTAAAAAGGACATAAGCAATGGCAGGAGTTTCTGGGAGTAATTCAGGAGACACAGCAAAAATACATCCCTAGGAAAAAGAAGCATACTAAAGGGAAGATGAGGCAACCATGGCTGACAAGGGAAGTCAAGGACAGCATAAATGAGAAAGCACATAACGCGGCATAGGGCAGCGGGAAACCAGAGGATTGGGAAATCTACAAAGACCAACAGAGGACAACGAAAAAAAGAACAAGGAGGGAGAAGATTAAATATGATGGTAAGCTAGCCAGTAATATAAAAGAAGATTGCAAGTGTTTCTTTAGATATATAAAGGGCAAAAGAGAGGAAAAAGTAGACATTGGCCACTGGAAAATGATGTTGGAGATGTAGTAAAGAAGAAGTAAAGTAACAAAGAAATAAGTACTTTGTGTCAGTCTTCACAGTGGAAGACACAAGTAATATCCCAAAAATTCAAGCGAGTCGGGGGCAGAGCTGAGTATGGTGGCCACCACCAAGGAGAAGGTGCTAGAAAAACTGAAGAGGTCTGAAGGTGGATAAATCACCTGGACCAGATGGACTACACCCTAGAGATCTAAAGGAGATAGCTGAAGAGATGGTTCAGATGTTAGTGGTAATCTTTCAGGAATCACTGGAGTCAGAGAGGGTCCCAGAGGACTGGAAGATCACTAATATAATCCCCTGTTTAAAGGAGTAAGGTAAAGCACGGGAAATTACAGGCCAATTAGCCTGACTTCGACCGTTGATAAGATTTTGGAGTCCATTGCGAAAGATGAGATTGCTGAATACTTGGAAGTGCATGGTAAAATAGTGAAAAGTCAGCATGGTTTCATCAAGTGGCAGTCATGCCTGACTAATCTGTTAGAATTCTTTGAGGTGGTAACAAGCAGGTTAGACCAGGGACAGCCAATGGATATTATCTACCTGGACTTCCAGAAGGCCTTTGATAAGGTGCTGCACAGGAGGCTGCTTAGTAAGATAAGGGCCCATGGTGTTAGAGGCAAGGTACTTGTATGGATAGGAGATTGGTTGTCTGGCAGAAAGCAGAGAGTGGGGATAAAAGGGTCCTTCTCAGGATGGCAGCCAGAGACAAGTGGTGTTCCACAAGGGTCAGTGTTGGGATCATAGCTTTTCATTTTTAAATTAATGATCTAGATGAAGGAACTGAGGGCATTCTGGCTAGGTTTGCAGATGATACTAAGACACATGGAGGGACAGGTAGTATTGAGGATGTGGGGAGGCTGCAGAAGGATTTAGACAGGTTAGGAAAGTGGGCAAAGAAGTGGCAGATGGAGTACAACGTGGGAAAGTGTGAGGTCATGCACTTTGATAGGAATAGAGGCATAGACTATTTTACAAATGGGGAGAAATTCAGAAATCTGAAGTGCAAAGGGATACTTGGGAGTTCTAGTTCAGGATTCTCTTAAGGTAAACTTGCAGGTTGAGTTGGTAGTTAGGAAGGCAAATGCAATGTTGGCATTTATTTCAAGAAGACTAGAATATAAAAGCAAGAATGTACTTCATAAGCTTTATTAAAGCTCTGGTCAGACCACATTTAGAGTATTGTGAGCAATTATGGGCCCCATACCTGAGGGACCTCCTCTGAACCTGCTCTGTACTGGCAGAGCAGGTCAGAGGAGGCTCATGAGAATGATCCCAGGAATGGAAAGCTTAACATATGGGGGTAGTTTGAGGACTCTGGGTCTATACTCAATGGAGCTTAGAAGGATGAGGGGGGGTTGGGGATCTAGTTCAAACTTACAGAATACTGAATGGCCTGGACAGAGTGGACATTGGGAAGATGTTTCCATTGGCAGAAAAGACTAGGACCCTACAGCACAGCCTTAAAGTAAAAGGAAAGCCGTTTAGAACAGAGATAAGGAGAAACTTCTTTAGCCAGAGTGGTGAATCTATGGAATTCATTGCCACAGAAGGCTGTGGAGGCCAGGTCATTGAGTACATTTAAGACTGAGATAGATAGGTTCTTGATGGTCAAGGGAATCAAGGGTCCGGGGAGAAAGCGGGAGAATGGGGTTGAGAAACTTATCAGCCATGATTGAATGGTGGAGCAGACTTGATGGGCCGAATTGCCTAATTTCTGCTCCTGTGTCTTATGGTAAGGGGCCACTTTTTCACGCAGACATGGTGTGTGTATGGAACGAGCTGCCAGAGGAAGTAGTGGAGGTTGGTACAATTACACCATTCAAAAGGCATCTGGATGGGTACATGAATATAATGGGTTTAGAAGGGTATGGGCCAAATGCTAGCAAATGTGACTAGATTAATTTAGGATACCTGATCAGCATGGAAAAGTTGAACTAAGGGTTCTGTTTCCATGTTGTATATTTCTATGACTTACCAGATGATTCGGCATCAAATCAGAATGGGAAAGATATCAGTATCATGTCCGTGATCAACGATTTGCAGTGGTGGTCATAACTGCAAAGAGAAAAACAAACTGGCCCTGTTCTATAAAATATGAATTGACTGGTGAGACTGACGAAATAAGTAGCTCTTACGTTGACAACATTCAAGGTAGCTGTCCACACAAATCAGAGACCAATTGTTTCCAAGATGTGTATCAAAAATTTTTATTGGACAATTGCATGCTGGAACACAGACTGTCAAAGTAAACGGTCTCAACCATGTCATTTGTAATCTTCAAGACCCTTTTTAAAATTATTTCCACTTGTAAGTCATCAGTATCAGAACTACCATTTCAGCAGGTCATGCCCGGTTTAGCTAGCACTACCCATAGAAATGTTGGCAGAATAAGAATATCAGTCTGTGAACGTAAACGCAACTAAAGCACAAGTGGAATTATATCACTGCTCTACAAAATGGAATTTGACTGTATGACAAATTCGGAAGTAAATTAAAACTACCTCCTCTGGCAGAAACACAAAATGAAGTTTAATAAATAAAATCTAAAACAAGTCAACGGTCAAGATTTGGCTAGAAGGGGGAAGAAAATAAAGAGGTAAAACTCCTCTAGTATAAAAATCACAATATCATCTCCTGACATGAATGGTGTGTTAGCAACAATTCAGAAACATCTACGTTGGTGAGGCCACTTTTGGTGTATTGTGTACAGCACTGGTCTATAGGAAGAACATTATTAAAAGATTTACAAGGTTATTGCTGGACTAGAATATTCGAATTATAAGGAGAGGCTGAATAGCCTGGACTTTTATTCACTGCAGCGTAGGAACTTGAGGGGTGACCTTACAGAGGTTTATAAAATCATGAGGGGCTTAGATAAAGTGAATAGCAAAGGTCTTTTCCCTAGGTGAGGTAGCTCAAAACTAGGGGGCATCTTTTTAAGGTGAGAGGGGAAAGATTTAAAAGGGGTCTGAGGGGCAACTTCTTCCATGCAGAGGGTGGTTTGTATGTGGAATGAACTGCCAGAGGAAGTGGTAGATGTGGGAATAGTCACGACATTTAAAAGACATTTGGATAGGTACGTGAATAGGGAAAATTTAAGACGGACATGGGTCAAAGTACAGGCAAGTGGGGCTAGATTAGTTTGAGAAACTTTGTCAGCATGGAAGAGTTGGACTGAACAGTCTGTTTCTGTGCTGTGTGACTCCATGACTCAATCACTAAAAGATTTCAATTTGAATGCAGTCATCATTTATAGGGATTACTACCCTCCCAGTTAGCTTTATGGAAACCATTTAGGAATAGATGATCTTACTTCTTTTTCCTGAAGATACCAATCTCTTCATAGGATGTGGTTCCAAACATGAGTTGGAAACTTCTTCATTTAATTCAAACAGGCTGTGTCTGCTAAGAGATTGACTCAATCTGTCCAAACTAAGGTTATGGACTTGCTTGGTTTAGGTAGAAAAAATTTTAGGGCCACAAATAACGTAGATGGAACAAGACAATGTCAAAATAAATTTCCTTCCAATCTTCTAGATTAAATTTACATTGTATAGTCAAGTCCGGTTTCAACTGGTTCCCAAAGTGATTTAAATGGAGGATTGTAAACAAGGCTGTAAATAACACTTGTTTTAAATCTCTAATTTTTTCATGCCATACAATGATATGGGTTGGACAGATACTGGGGCACAGTTTCTGCTTTAGGCATAATTACTGTTTCCAGCACAACTCTGCATCCATTTTGAAAATGTTTCCCTGGAGTTCTGCTCAAACTAATTTGCATATCTAATACTATGTAACATTTAACCTATGTAAATAAATAATATGGAAAAGTAAGAGCTGGTCTCACAGAAATGCATAACTGTTAAAAGGATTGATAATGTCAATGCCTGGGAAATTTCTTCTGACTGGGGAGTTGAGAACTACAGGCCGTTGTTTCAGAATAAGGGATTGCCCACTTACAACAAAAGTGAGGGGAAAAAAAACGTCTTCACCCAAAAGGTGTTTTTTCTTAATCTTGGATCAGTGAATGCTTAATGATTAAGTTTATTCAAGACAGAGATTAATAATCTGTTGGGTGGGAAGGAAGATATCTTGCACCAAAATAAACTTAAGTTCACTTAAAACCTTAACTTTAAAAACCTACTAGAAAGGCCTACACACAATGAGAAGAAACATGGATTGGGTATCATTGCACTATGGGTAGGACCTACTTATACAAGTATATTCTTAAAATTAGTGCAAATGATCACAGAATCTAGAATTGTGTTGAACACAAATTGCATTTAAAATTCTGCAATATTTTGTGTACATTACACTAATTCTAGCTAAATTGCACCAAAGATAAGTCAGCGCAATGTAACAGGTCAGACCATTAAGCACCTAGGAAAATATGCCTTATAAAAATAAACCATTGCATGTTGCAATTTATTATCCCTACTTTTTAAAAACAATATTGCTTTAGTGACACAATGTATTACCAATAGCCAGTGACAGAAATAAATGACTCAACTTTACCTTTCTTCACAACTTTTTAAAGCACAAATTAAAACAGCTCACTCATCTATTCACTTTTAAATGATCAATATTTTTGACTTTAATTTTACTTTGTTGTATAATATGCAAATAGTTTATTCTTTGAATTAATAAAATGTGCAGTGCAGCAATAGTATTAAAAAAGTGAAACAGACAATATTGGTGCAAAGTGAACGACCACTCGCCTTCCATGCTGCACAAGACTTCTCATCTATACAATTTACACAATGTACATATGGTATAATTTACTTATAATGTCAAGAATAAAAGGACCAGCGTTAGCCTCTGTAAACCTATGTATGAAAACTATGTTACATGTTGCAATAGAATTTTTGCATAGATAGGACAGCTTGTTTACAGCCTCTCAATTGTCACCACTAAGGCACAACTTTTGATTTTTCATTATTGGAGGGATGTTTGTCAGCTCAAATCTTCTTCTGAAGAATTGCTGTCTCCTCGATCCCTATATTCTCGAAAAGCTGTAGCAGATGCGCCTTCCGGGTCAAAGTTCATCATTTTAACATTCAATCTTTGTGTTAGTTTTTCCGCAGCTAACTTGGCCTGTGTGGACTGTAAAAAAAAATGCTTATTTTAATTTGAATGTCAAGACAAAAAGCAAGGTCTCCCTTCAGTACTTAGATTTGTCCCAAAAGGTAAACTACTTGTGTATAAAATTGCTTTTAAGCAGTTTCCCAATAACCTTGATCTTTATAAGCAGGTTATACCAAATTAAAATGTTTGAAGGCGATAAACAATATAGAATCAAGAGTTTAGATTCTGCAGTAATTTTGAGGAAAGAAGCAAAAACAATATATAAATTCTGATTAAAATTGTAACTTCACACAACTTTTTTTTGATAATTCTAAAGTGTTCTTGTCAAGCAAGTGTTTACTTCAACTGTTCTCTTCATTGATCATACCTCATACTTTTGCTTCTGTGATATTTGTAGTTCTCTAGACTCTTCTACCGACAGTAGTTGAGCAGGAGAATGGTAAAGTGGAGGCAGTCTAGCAGCTGTGACATCATCCAGATGTTTTCGGTCCCTTAACCTTCGCTCTGCTGGAGACAGTTTTAGTGCCGATCTGCCAGGTGATTCATGTGGAGATGAACTGGGTGATTCCTGTATTGGGCTGATGCAAAAGAACACACAAGTACTCAGATTAAAAGACCACGGTGCTTCCAACTAGCAACAAAAGATTCTCACACAGTCTTAGAAAGGCAACGTTTAACAGCTTGGCATTGCATAACATTAATGATGATTAAAAAGAGCTCTAGGAGTTTGTGTACTGCAACTCGCAGAAAATCCAGCAACATAGCTTTTACGAAAACTTTTCATCTTAAAATTAATGGTACATTTCTGCTTAAAGTCAACGTTTGCATTTAATAAGCAAGACACTGCATTCCTACTTACTTCAAAAGGCAGTGAAACTAAAATAACTTAAAAATAGGACAGATTTCTAATTATTGAACAAAATAACCACAAAATTCATAATTATAGGGGGAAAAAAGAATATTTTGTTTTGCAGAATAAAACAAAATACTGAATGAGTTCCTGACATCTACAAACATACTTGCATTGCTTTATTTAAACACAAAGTAGAAAATAACTAATTTCATATTAGTGCCAATATTCCTAATCATTAAATGACTGTCAATGTTGTTTTTAGTTTGTTTACACAATGGTAAGGTTAGCGTTTATTCGCTATTCCTAAATATCCTAAAAGGTGAGCATAGTGCCATTAAAATGCCAGCAAAGGCTTCTATTATGCCCACACAGATCTGAAATGTAAGCTTGCAGATTCTGACACATTTTTAATGCTGTAATCTTGAGATAAGCTGTAACTAAGCAAGCTATAATGCAGTAAATATTTGAAAATAAAATGTTGGAATTATAGGCCCTAAATAAACACAAAATTTTGCATCTCAACTGCATCAAAATTGCAAAAAGTTAACAATGCACAAAAATTTAAGTTAAAAACCAAATCCAGCTATACGTGTTGTACCTCAAACCTAAAGTGAAACTTACTGGTTAGTTTTGAATTGTGCTCTTTTCATCATTGGATTCTTGGCCCTGTGCTCCAGTATGTCAATATAATGAGGTCTTTTCTTTTCTAGGTGCAGAGCTTGAAATGGATTGTCATTAAATTTGACATTATCGTTTAAAGTTGGATCATCATGGATTTTATGAGGTACTTTTCTGTGCCCATTATCTGTCAGAGTAACTTTGTCAAGCCTGTCACTAAGCAAGTCAGCTCTATTGACAAGATCTGCTTCCAGGTCATTTGCCATGTCATGCAGATGGACAGGATTGTTTCTTTCCTGCTGTATATACATGGTTCTCTGGTTGTCCAACACAGAATCCTGAGAGTTCTCAGTTCTTGTAGCACTCTTAGCTGTGAACCTTCCTGATGGTGCATGGTCTTTTTCAAATACTGCATGTCTCTCCCAATTTAATTTGTCTCTGTTTATAGTTGCTTCACCATCATCTTTTCTCAAAACATATTCACATTTCTCAGCTTCATTACAATCCTTCAATTGGTTTCCAACTTCTTGCCCTGGTGTTAGAGTTGGGGATGCCGTCTTGAGATTGAGAATTTCCTCCTTGTCAGGCGTTATCACCTGTTGCTTGTTTTGAAACTCCAGTTTAAAAGCTGAAAGCATTTCAGCTGCTCGCTCCACTTCTTCATGCTGAGAAATTGCTGCTTCTAGTTTTTTTATAAACTCAGCAATTCGTTTACCTTTGTCTGGCAGGCTCTGGATAAACTTCCTGAACAAACAAAGACAAAGATAATTACAGTTAGATCGAGAAGTTGCTCCCAATGAAACATACATATTTAACAAGAACTAAATAATCAATAACTTGATTTATATGAACAGTTTCTGAATTGATTTTCCATCCCACATGCTCTTGTGGGTGAAAATGGACTGATTAATAAAACAGTCACTGCTCTGAAAAAGACCATTTGGCCTATTGTGCTAATGCCAGCTCTCAGCAAGAATAGTTTTAGTTAGTCCCACATCCCCATCCTTTCCCTGCAGCTGTACAGGTTTTCACTCATCAAATGCTTGTCCAATTTCCTTTTGAAAGTCACAACAGGGAGGTGATAGCCTACTGATATTATTGCTAGACTATTCATCTCCAGGCCTAGGTAATGTTCTGGGGACCCAGGTTTGAATCCTGCCATGGCAGAAAATAGAATCTGAATTTAATAAAAATTTGTAAGTAAGTAACTGTTACCAATTGTCAGGGAAACGCCATCCGGTTCACGAATATGCTTTAGGGAAGTAAACCACCATTTTTATCTGGTCTGGCTGACATGTGAATCCAGACCTACAGCACTGTACTTAACTCTTAACTGCCCTCTAGGCAATTAGGAATGGGTAATAAATGCTAGCCTAGCCAGCAATACCACATCCCATGAATGAATAGAAAAAAAACTGAATCTGCCTCCAACACACTTTGTACTCCAACACAGTACACTCCAGATCCTAACTATTCACTGCATAAAAACGTTTTGCCCGCACATCAACACTGCTTTCTGTATCAATCACTTAAATCATTGTTTTGCAAATTTTAATCCTTCTGCCAACTGAAACTGGTTATTTCGATTTATTCTGCCCACATCCATCATAATTTTGAAATACCTCTACCAAATCGCTTATCAAACTTCTCTCCTTTTGAAAACAATGCTAGATCCCGTTTATCCATGTCACTGGATTCCTAATTCCTGGAACCATTCTGGTAAATTTTCCTTATGCCTTCTCAAATGCCTCCACATCCTTCCTAAAGTTAAATGACCAGAACTGGATACAATTCTCTCATGGAGGATAAATTGGTTTTACAGAAGTTTGTCATAATTATCTTGCACTTGTACTTTATAAACAGAGGTACAGAGTATAAGTTTCATTATGCCTTTCAAACAATTTCCTTGGCCTTACCTGTCACCTTCAACAATTTGTGACACATACCCATGTCTCCATGCACTCTCCCTTAGAAAAATATTTTTTTTATATTGCTTCTCCTTGTTCTTCCTACCAAAATGAATCAGTTCACAATTACCTGCATTAAACTGCATCTGCCTCCAGTCTGCCAATTCCACCAGTCCCAAATCCTCTAAGTCTTTCATAATCTTTCTCACAGCTCACAATACTCGAAAAGTTCACTGATGATGCAAAACTTTGAAAAGGTGTTCCACACGTCCCAGCTGATGTCCTAGAACTAATCCTGGTGAAAGCCGGCTCTATACCCTAACATATATCCAGTTTGAAAAAACAAACAAACATTCACCACTTCTGTTTCCCTGTCACTATACATACTGCCACTATTCCTTTCATTCCAAGGGCTTCAACTTTGCTTGCAAGTCCATTATGTGGCACATTATCAAGGCCCTCCTTCCTTGTTGAGCCAGAACCATACTGATCAAGAAAATTTTCCTGAATATACTCCAAAAATCATTCCGCCTCTCTGCCCTTCATTACCCTAATAATGCAGGGATGTTAATAATGTAAAATGTTTTCTTTTAACCACGATCTAACCATGAAATTTCTCACAAGGTAGTCTGCTCATAAACCCAGGAAACAGTGACACGTTAGGGGACTGCTACAAACATGAATCAATATCTACTGGCACTTTGCTTTGCATCCTTATATTGGTTTTCATTTTCTAAAAATATCTTTATTTATAACATTTGTAAGAGTACATTACAAAACATTTCAAATGGAACGAATCGGGAATATGCCAATCTGTATTGGTTGATCTTGGGCAGCTCCATGTACTACAAGGCCAAAAGGTTTGGGGCAGGCCAAACAGCACGTGTTTCCTTCCCTGACTTGATGGCCCTCTAGCAGCAGTTGGTGTTTATCACAGTGTGCATCCCTGGGAGCAGCATGAAAACCTCTGTGTTACAGAGCTGCTTGGGATAAACATTGACAAAAGCTACTGCAACTCCTTCCACACCTGCTTTGCAAAGTCACCTTCCAGATGGCAATGGGCAATGGTTTCTGGTCCCATTCCCATCACATCTGCCCTGTGGGCAGTGTGCGTAAGAGGTGAAATGCCAGTCATGGAGAGAGAATCTGGTGGAAAGATTCTGCTACTTCTTGGTGCTTTATTGAAAGTTCTGGTGATAATTCACCTGCCAAATATCTTTGAAGTTCAGTGGCTCCTACAGTTGGTGCCTCTAACTTTACCAACAGCAAGATAAACAAGCCCAACGCCAAAACCTGGCCATTGTATATGAAATTGGATCATAGGATGGCAATGATCTGCCTCTATAGAGTCGAACATCCTGACTATCCCGCAAAGAACATAACTCCATGTTGGAGAAATTTCTGATTCTATTTTAGATCTCCAATATCCGCAGTACTTATTTTTAATGAATCTTTTTGACTCTATTTCCCTTTATCTCGAACGTGAGGAAACCTGAACACAAATCGCTACACTCTGCCAAGAGTGAAGGCTTTTTACACACACACACACACACACACACACACACACACACAGTTCTCCCGAACGTGTCCCCGCTGCCCAGCCCCTGAGCCCGTCCACCCACCCGGGGTTGAGTCCAGTCCCCCCGGAGTTAACC